AGGACTCAGGCTGGTCCCAGAAAGCTGAATGGAGTTTGAAAACTTGGAGATTAAGGTGGGGATGCCACAGGAACTTTGTAGCTTTGTAGAAACATGGTAGAGATGAAATGTGAGTTTTTCCCACCCTTGCTTCTGTTCTCTGACCCTCACCCCCACCCATGCTGGCCGTGTCCTCAGATTCTCGGATGCATCAACAGGAATGATCAGTACATCTGCACACTGATGTGTATAGCTCTCTTTTCACTTCCTAATGTAGATAAATTTATTCCATATTTACACAAAAATATACCCATTCTTTTCCTATGAGAATATTGTATTCTAGTGATGAATATAGTAGGATTTTTAATAATCTCTTTATTAATGGGCACTTTGGTTGTTTCTGATTTTTTTATTAACATGACATTACTTAAATGAACATCCTTGTGCATGATCCTTGCATCCTTTTGCACCTATCCATTAGAATAGGTTTCTTAAAGTGAAGTTGTTCCTCAAAGGTTACTTTTAAAATTTGACCAACAAAAAAGCTAAGCCAATATACACTCTTGCCAAATTGTGAGTGGATGTTTGCCCAAAGTCTCAGCAATGCTGGGTATTACTATTTGTGTAGAATGTTACCCAATTAATTTTTGACAAATTTCTTGTTTTAATATGTGGTTCTTTGATCGCCATTGATTGACGTTACTTGTTTTTTGTGGTTTTTTTTTTTTGTACATTTATTAGCCATTTCCACTTCCTGTTCTGTGAATTTTCCATTTTTCGGTAGGTTGTTCATCTTCTTACTTTCATATGTGCTTTTTATGTGTTAGTGATGTTAACCTTTTTATGTTATGTTGCACGTGCTTTTCAAGTTTGTCATTTGCTGTTTTAACATCATAGCGTCTTTCACTGTACAGTCTTTTCCAAACTCTTGTATAGTGAATTTGCTAATCTTTTTGTTTTTGGTTTCTGAGATTTGTGTCTTGCTTAGGAATGCCCTTCCCCTGCCTGAAGATAGTACAGTATTCTATGTTTCCTTCTAAAGTCTTAATCTTTCCTTTACACACCCACCC